ATTTACTACTTATTATGATATAAATATATATATATATATGCATATTAACACACATCTGAGTTGAGGCTGTGTCAGACAAATCACTGTACAGAAATCTTCAGATACTGATCGTTGGACACATGTCAAAGTTCAAAGTTTTATTATGGGAGATTTCACAAAACTAACGCTTATCAGGTCTCATAGTATTTTTACAAAATATTTCGGACAACTTTACAAATAGAAAATAATAATAATAATATGCATGATCACTCACAGGTTTTGAAATGTTAAGTGTTCCAATGCTTCAACAAGCTGCGATTTGTATAATTCAACAGTAGGAGCAGACACTACATAGGATAGAAGAGAATTCCACTCACCACACACTCTGACCGCAAGCGAGTGATGCCGGAAATCTAGGTGATTCGTCTGGGTTCTCAGCTTCAGTGGATGTCCACCGAGATGATTATAATGAGATAAAGCTGACACAGAACGACAAGGGTGGTTGGGGTGATATCAAGATCAGGTCCCCCTGAAGTCGATGGTACTGCAACCAGTAAAACCCCAATCTTTGCGGTCTTTCGGAGTATGTCTTGCTATACAGATATTTTACCATTTTTGTTGCTAACGTTCTATAGCCTTCTTGTCGGGGTTCCATTGTGGATTCCATACCTACAAGGTGTATTCTTGTGCCCGAATGAACCTCGATAGCAAGCGTGGGAACAGCGCTATTTCGAAATGCCCGAAAACACCCTTAATTAATCCAAAATGCATTTGAGCCATGGACAAATACCATAAAAAGACGACGATCCTTCAAGGATCCTTGCAGAACCCCTCGTACAGCGGCGATAGGTTCAGATAGTGAATCACAAACCAGAAAACACATGGTTTTTCGTCGGAGAAATTCCTTGAGCCAGTCGAGATACAAATCTCTCACACCGTAATCGTATAGCTTTTGCAGTAGAACTTGGTGGCTTACTCGAACAAATCCTTTGGACACGTCCAAAAACACTACGTCAACACTACTACAATGGGCCACCTATGTCGACGGATTCTGACCACTCATCTTGTGCAAGAAGTAAATTTGCGGAAAGTTTTGTTATCACCTGGCAGAATTAGCTTTATCATCAATATGTAGATATATATATGATAAATGTAATTCTGCTAGGTAAAAGTGTTATAATTCCAAAAGGCGGTGCTCGGTCGAGGAGATGATTACAGATGGGACATCTGGCACATACATAAAACAGCAAATCTCATCAGAAACATACTGTCGCAGTTCCTGGCCGCACGACGGGTAATGAACGCAGTAATCGATAGTTATTCTCTGGGATACAGCAATTTGCCCTCGGCGGTCTTCTTAATTTTTGAGCGCCGAGAGTATTCACCAACTATGTTACCTGCTACTCACAAGTAAGTAGAATCTCACAACAATCGTACAACTTCAGTTCGTTAAAAATTTTTCTGTATTAACTACACGCATACGAGTGTTTGGAAATATTTGATTTGGTTTTGGTAACAGTGAGTATTCTTTTAGGTTTCTACATAGGCTTACGCATGATTGGTCTTGGTGGAGTGGAGTTTTATTTTACCCACCAGTGCAGTTTCATTTTGGCCACTTTGGAACGGAAAGTTAAGATGAAATACAAATTTGTCTGCGGTGAATGCCTTCAGAAATCAAACTTTTCTATCTCAAGTACATGAGGCTCAAAACAATAAGCGTGGGGAAAAACAATTGTGAAGAAAGTCAGGGTGTTGCACGAGTTTGATCAATATCCGTCGATTTATGAAGCGCGCACATGATCAGGCTTTTGTTGCTAACATCGTTGTCATAAATAATTTGTTATCCCTTTTAGGTGTGAGATTCGTCTCCCTGTCCTATTCATAAATCATCAATCGTGTTTGCTTCTATTCAGAGCAACTGTCCTTGTTTTACATTTGATCATCCAATTCAGCAAGTTAAAGGCCATTATAACGAAGAAAGCAGTTTATTCAACTACTCTAATTATTTGTCCTGTTGCGGGAATCAATATTCATTGGTTTAGAGGATTATTCTCTCACTTTTGGTTTTGAGGTCGTTTCCTTCAAAGTCTGGGCCATTTCTTCGGGTACATTTCGGTCAACGCTGTCCACAAGTTTTAAGTCTGACCTCGTGATGAAATGACCCGAACTGTCTTGAATTGTGTTGAATGACTTAGAGTCGGGCTTTTCATCTCTGGGAGATTCATTGTAGTCTGTACCAGCGGTTGTAGTTCGTCGACTTTCATATCCACTGGAACTGGACATCTCACTCATGCAATCTTCATCACCAACGATCGACGTAACACCCTTGCGTGGATTTGATTGATTTTCACGGCTTCTCTTGATCACTGCACTGTGATCTTCTAGTGTGCTCTCGCTGTCTGTGGATAAAAGGATGGCCTCCGCGTCCTTTTCTGATGAGTGCACTTTGAGTATTTGCGGTACGGACTTCCTTCGACTGAACGCACCTGATCTAAAAATTAGAAAGGTAGCCGAGATGTTTTCACTGTTGGTTAACAAACCTGAATGAATTCCCGAGCCCTGGAAACTTTAATTGAGCACAAGAGCTAAAAATAAAATAAAAGAGCTGCACACCCCTTTACATGTTATCCAATGCCTATGGGGAAAAACAAACTAATAACATTTCAAAAGACAAACCATATGGCGAACAAGCTTGTTCTCGTAACTTTGTCTTCAGGCATTTACATTTCATTTGATTTAGTTGAGTCAAATCACTCAGTGGATGTGGCAAACACGTTCCGACCGATTTACAAGGTTCGATCTAGGTAATCAAGAACAGTGAAGCATCAAATCTTAGCCCCGGACGAAGCCGGAAGTATTCGTATTCACCCCCCCCCATCTATTGTGCGCCCAGAAGAAATTTGTGCAAGCACTTAATCTCCCCTGGCCCACTTCAGCCACTCTAACATGTGTGCAATCAAGTGAACTGTTGACACTGTGATCAACTTCACACAGGCGCACATGCACACATGATTGGAGCCGAAGCTAGGACTCGAATCTCTCATTCCCTATTTGTTCTTGTTGTTGATCGTAAATAATGTTAATGTAATGGCATGATAACGAATAACTGAAAACGAGCTTGTTCGCCTGGCTGTTGTTGTTCTCAATGTGTTCTGCGGCACTAATGAAACGTTTGATTTGGTTTACATGTAACAGATTCACCACATTTGCAGATGTAAAAGCTAACATAAATAACAACATTTCATTCACGTCAAACGCATTGGTTCGACATTTTCACGGGTGAACTGCTTCGAAGAATCGTCGGACGATACATGAAACATTTCAGCGGACAGGAAATGTATATATATAGGCAAATACCTTACTATTTGTAATCGTAGTGCCCCCTCTTCGTTCATTCATCTTCAAATGACTTCGAAAAGGACTCAACAACCATTTTTCCCCGATTGAACCAACGTAATTATATAAATGTCCATATTGCATTATTCCAGTCTATTTTATACATGTAGATATATATAACACGAATTTTTACAGATACGGCATCAAAATAACCATGGGTTTAGCGCAAAATATGGTAACAGAAAATAGTCAACTTGGGAATGACAATTTTTTGTTTGTTTCCTGCACGCCATTTCGTTTATTTTTGGGATCACTCACAGTAAAGGGTGCATTCACGCCACTGACTTCGGTTTGATGCCATATCCCGCAGAGTGTTCAGCCAAAGACAATCTGAATCTTTGGGGCCCCAGCCAAGAAGCCGCGAAGCCTCGACGGAAGCCAGATCCGAGCACAATCTCTTTAACCCTTTAATCTCTCTCCCAGCCCGAACTGATGGCTACAAATAGTGCATGGTAGACATTGTTCAGGCATTCGTAGGATGTGCCCCAGTCACCAAAGACGATACAGTTAAATTGTTTTGCTCAACGGAAGACTATTGGATCTCAACGCGCGTCGTCTGACCTAATCGTTATTCACGCGATGCTCCCACCATACGTAGCCGATGTTGCGCGGAAAACGGTTATCGAAGACGGAAAGTCGCTGGACATGATCTGCTGAGAGAGGCCAGGTTTCGCCGCCATAAAGCAACATGGCGAATACCGTTGCGCAATACACACGCCCTTGTAGTGAAAGGGATATGTCGCACCAGCGCCAGAGGTGCTGCAGATTAGAAAACGCTAATCTAGATTTGATCGCGCGTTTAGAGATCTCCTCGCCCCCCCCTATGCCAGCCGTTAATCAACTACCGAGGTAGATAAAGCTTTCGATTTCTTCTGAGGTGTGAGTACCCAAAGCAAGCGCAGGAACGGGTTCCTGCCAATCTCGCAACAACACTGCACCTGGAATGTTCAAAGGACAGTATAACGAGTAACCTCATTTGCCAAACGATCCAGCGACTATTCAATCGTCAGTGCGTTGCCACAGAGTAGTTCAGTTCAGTTCAGATTTTATAACCATTAACCATGCACTTTTGTGCGCCGGTTTTGGTTGCTGTCTTTTGGCTACCCATTTGGATAAAATAGCAGAATGAATGAATAAATGTTGAGAGCAAATTTAGGCGGAAAATAAAAAAAACCCATGTAGACTGAGATTGCAAGAATAATGAGTAGAATAATGAGCGACACTGTTTGCGACACAGCCATATCGCTCAGTGTCTCTAACCATCGGTGATTATGATCTCGTGGTCCCCAGCCAGGGAGCCCAACGGGACCTATGTGACTTAGT